ATACAAATGAAAATTGCAGACAAAATGGCACGAACAATTGCAATCGCATGCTAGGATCAAAGCATTTGCCAATCGCTACAAAACAAATAGACAGTGAATGAGAGTGAGAAAAAACATTTCGTTTGCTCGTTGTAAATGACACAACACATACACATAGGGAGAGAGAGAGATAGAGATGATAAATTGGCCGTGTCTCGACGACAATTTTGCTTCATAATTAATTATTATTGTCGTGTGACAAATGCTCACGCGTTTGCGCATTGCGCACCGAATTACACCGAAATCTCACGTCCTTCGCCACGGAACCGTGGCTTCACATTTTATCGGAAATTTCAATGAAAGCCACAAACATTCATCGCGCGACCGCGCATCAACACGTGAATCAAATGAATTTTTATCATCGACAGCACACATACCATGCCGAAACAACAAGTGATTACCCCGAATGGTAATTTCAGTGAAGAGAAACAATTATTATTGCATGAATTTGATGTGAACGACGGCTACCCAACGAAAATGTAACACAAACGACAGCTCTCTGTCAAAGCATGTTTGCAATGGACATGATTAATTGAATAGAAGTCGGTCAAAATCGGGGCACTCACGCGCACCGCGCGCGTCTTACTCATTCACCATCTACTCGATTCAAACGATTGTTTTTTTTTCTTCTTGCTCTTTACTTGCTTCGAACGAACGGAGTGCGTTCAATTTGTGTGTGTTGACTTTCATTTGTTACATGCCCTCTCAGTCACAGCAGCCCCAAAATAATTGCAAATGAAAGACAATTTGAACATGTTTAGTGTGCGTCTGCTGTCATTTAAAATGATAAACGACAATTTTAACAATAGACACATAAACACTCGCCAAACAAACGAATAACGGTTGAGAAAATCTAATGACTTGAAACAATGATTAAACGAATCAACAGCTTAAGATAACACACATAAAATTGTATGCCGAAAAAACACTCATTACACACATTCTCAGGCATCATTTTTATTGAATGGCCAAAGGGTCAATTGCTGTCCACAACAAAACAATTCCATTTTCAAGTTAAGTAATAGCATTCAATTTCATTTTCAAAAGCTTTTACTCAATATAAAATGGTAGCAGACTATCGGCTCTGCTCAGAGTGGTGAAGAAAAAGTGAAAAATACATGAAATTAAAATAGAATATCTACGATTTTCATTGGAATTTACCGAAAATGTGAAGGGAAATAATGAAAATGTATTGAAAAACCGTGAATTGTATGAGGTTTTAGAAGGAAACAAAACAATACATACACGAAAAATTGAAAAAATGGCCGAAACGATAAATGAATAGAAAAAAAACAGAAGAAATTTCGAAACGCCCAGGAAACGCTTGAGAAAAATTAGGGGAAATGCAGAAAATCCTCGGAAAGAAGAAAAAACTGAACGAACAATATTCAAAATTGCATGGAAATGGCAAATTGTTTCGAAAAAAGTACAAAAACGCACAAAAACACGTGAAAAGGGGGAAACAACTCCGAAAACAATCTGCGAAATAAGTAAAATGGTAAAAAAAAACCACTACTGAAATCATCCACAAAACCACCTAAAACTTCAAGAAGGTGAAGAAAACACTTAAAACTTCTGGAACAATCGAAATTTCAGACAAGTGTTTGCCAAACATTTGAACATATTTCGTATGGAATGGTCGATATCGAGAAGTTATTTTCGGACATATCGAGAATTTATTGAATGAAAAATCGAAATTTCCGATTTTTGGCTTTAAATTTTTAAGAATTTAAGAAATATTGTGAAAAAGTAACTGAAAGACTTTTATTGATAGCACAAAAAATAGAAGAATAATCCAACTTTCATTTCTTGGTTCGTGCATCATGTGTTGTTATCATGTTCTTCGAAAGAACATCTTTCCAGCCATAATTTTCCAAAAGACAATAAAAGACTTCAATTTTTGATTATTTCCACAAAATGGTCAATTTATCGGCGTAAATATCTTCTTTATAGGCTCAATTCTGCATACCTCAGCGATGCACGTTACCAGAATTTTGGCTGGTACACAGCACATTTCACCAGTTGCGACTTCGGTCATATATTCGTTGATGCGAGTATAGTGTGAGTACGACGTGTGTACATAAGGCGCGAACTAAGACGACAATTCACTTCGCAAGAATTCGACCGCTTCGCGCACACGTTGTAACTGGTAAACCGTACACACGAGCCACAGTTTGCTTTGATTCGCATGACCGAAGTAGCAAATGGTGAAATGTGCTGTATACCAGCCGATCAACTGGTGACGTGCGTCGCTGAGACCTGTTGTTTTAACAACACGCATTTTCACAAAATTGTTTCAATCCGCCAATTTCGATCCGGAATAATTCGAATAAAATTCTTACGCATACATCGAAAACCTATGCGGAATCTCGATCAATCACGAAAGCTCTAGTTGTTGTTAATATTTTTTTTCGTTCATCGATCGCATCAAAGACCAATAAAAAATTTCCATAGTTGTAAACTGTGCACTATAAATGAATGAACGTAATTTTTTGTGCAATTTTTTGTGCTGCTGTTGTTGTTGTGTCTATAAAGGCGACCACTTGAATGCGCCTGTGAATGAGATGAAACGGGCGAGCAGAGTGTGCGCGTGTGCGTGCAAAGAACGAAAGAAACGGCGCAACAACAGCGAAAAAAATGCACGTATTTTAATGCTCGTTCAATTTTACAAGATATGTAACAAATATACAAACATTTGTGCATAATCATAATAACTTGTCTATGTGAAGTGCGCGAGAGGTTGTAAGCGATGGTAAACGGAGGTGCACGTAAGCGCCCGCCGATCGATGAGAGAAGCGAAAGAAAAAAACGCGAAAATTTACTCAATCAAATAAAACAGTAATTGGTTTTGGGGTCTATGAAATTGGTCTGGTTGGTTGGTTCGGTTTGGATTGGTAGTATTTTTTATTTGCCTCGATGCACGTTTATCGATTTGAATTGTGTGCGCGTTGTGAGCACGAGAAGAAGCGATCGGGCGAGAAAAAGACAGGTGAAATGAGTTGATAAGAGAAAAAAAGAGAAGAGACGACCGGGTAGAGTGCTCAAGTTCTTTTCGGCCAGAGAGCAAAAGAGATAGATAGATAGAGAAGAACAGAGAGAGAACGACAGCGAGCACTCAAAAAAAATGTGACGACGCATGGAGAATTCGCACATTGGCGCGAATATGCGACAAGACTTCATTCATGTGCGTTTGAAAATGGCCGAGGAAAAGACAAGAAAAGCCCCAGCAAACCAAAGACACAACCATCGTTTTGAAACATGGATTTTTATTTGGCAATATGTATTTTTTTTTTCCTTTCGTTCTCACTGTTTGTGTTTTGGTCGTGATGCGTGTTTGCGCGTGCCTTATTGAACTTTAAATGGCGCAAGATGCTTGAATCATTCACTAATTAGTAAATCTAATTATATCTTTGGCGCGCTAAAGCTGAACGATCGCTGGCGCGTACGTGGCTCAATCGTACACACGGGGCAATCGACAATGATTCAGAGGCAGAGCGACAGACTGAGACTGGCCAACACCATTCAAATGATATAATTTCTCATTTATTTCATTTATAAGACATCATCATGCTGTCGTGAATATGCCAATTTTTGCTGGTGAGACGCTGTGAGCACATTAAACCAGCTCCATCACGCTCTCTTTCTCACTCTCTGAGTCTTTTTTGCACTCGCACTCGCTCTCTGACTGTTTTTCGCTCTTTTTTTTCTCTTCAAATTCGATATTTTTGTCGCGATTTGTGTGCTTTTATTTGCAATCAGCAGCCAGTCCGAGTGGTAAATGATTGAATACCATAAAAACGACACGGCCACAAACACACACATACACTTCGATCGAACCGAACGAGAAGGTCCAAATTGTCTATGCGCCGACATATTCATTTCGAGTTAGATTGGATTTTTGTTAATGTCGCACACGGAGCCGAATGCAACTTTGTAACACTCGTGATCGCTCACTGTATGCATCAGCCGAAGAAATCTTGAATACCTGCATAAATATGCCAACATATCTCTATGGACACAAAAGCCGAAAAAAACATTATTATTATTATATTATCTACAATTTGTGTGTGAGTCTTTTTTTTTCTCTGCTTAAGAGAGAAAAGAAAAAAAGACAAGTGAAGAGAAAAAAAGAACGGATTGTGTGTGTTGCTTCTGTTGGGGCGCGAGCGAATGCGCACACGTTCGTCGATTAATGTTCGAGAATGCGTTCGATTTGAATGGTGCTCGGTGCTTCGATACCTGTACACATAGTAAAATATAAATAATTTTTTTGAACTGGTTTCTCTCTCTCTCTCTCTTCTGTTGTTACTCTTTGGCGCTTACATAATATGCGAACGAACCGAAATGAAAGAAAAAAAAAATGTTCGTAAGCAGCACAAGACTCATTTCAGATAATAAATGCGTTGGTGCGTTCGATGTGCGGCTGGTCTCTTTCAAATTGGTCACTTGGTGGCATTACACACTTGGTGCAACGGCAACGACAACGACGACAACGGTGCTGCACCACACCACACAGCTTCTGATGTGTACGTATGAATGACATGGAATAGATTTTTATCGATTGTCCATGTCAATTTCCAGCCTATTTCTTGCTGCCTGCTGTTGCTCATTGGCAACAAATACCCGCGTCTATTTATCATACACACTCGAATCCGGTATGATTTGTTTTTCTTTTGCGAAGAGAGCGAAAAATCAAATAATATTCGAAATACACTCGCATACAAAAAAATTTCAATTGAAAAATGTGTAAATGTCATTTGCGTCAGGCACAAAAAGCACTGAGCTCTGGCGCTGTTATCGAAAACACTGTACGTTTCATTCTAATAATACAGCACATTTTGGTGCCCCATACACTAATGAACAGAAAATGACTAACGATCTCGAAAAATTAATGGACGAAAAAAAAAATTGAGAAGCGGAAATAAAATAGCAAGAAAATCACTTATTGCCAATCAGCTTACCTTAACGTCTTTGAAGCTCAAAATGTCAGTGGTAAACGTTGAATTGCCTACAAGTGGCTTATTTTTTACGCTCGGGAATATGATGCCACCTTTCCGGGATGTTACTTTGTTGGTGCTCACGTTGAATGCACTTGTTGGTATCGTATTCGATTGCACGGTATTTTGTGTACTGATCGATGATGACGACGATGATGAGGTGGATGTTGACGATGATGATGATGACGACGTTTGATTTGATGATTGTGATGTTGGCGTCACCACTGAACTGGTTGTCGTTTGGATTTGTGGCGGCTCGGTGAACTCTTCGATCAATGAATATCTGGATGGATTTGATGGGAATTTGAAAAATTGGATAAGTTTTTGCGAAAAATGACGAGCCAAAGAAAAAATGAAAAGCAAACGAAAATATTAAGGCAAAAGTGGTTGATTTCAACCAAGAAAACTCTTGATTCATGGGATATTTTCAATTTTTTTTTTTTTTTAGTTTTTTATAGTAAATAATTTTCGTTTTACCCAAAAACGTTTTTCTTTAATCTAAAAATCCGTATAACTGTACCTGTTTGGATCGTATTCCACCAGTCGATCGATGGTTGGGTCCATGAGGAGTTCGGCTGGAACGGGTCGTTGTGCAAGAGCGGCCACATCGTTTTCTTGTTTCTTCAATCGCTTTTCGACCACATTCAAATTGCTAATGATTAAATTAGCCTTTGCCTTTAAATCTTGATGAATTTCACCGATTGCACGTTCTTGTCGTTGAGTTTGTGTTAACAATTCATCGCTCTTTGGCACCAAATCATCGACAGATGTCTTTGTTCCAACCACCACATCCCATACTTCGTCCATTTTCTCGGATACGCTCATAATTGGCTTGATTTGTTTGACAAGCGCATCGATTTTGCTGGTTTTCAAGATCGGTGGCTGTGTGGTCGTTGAATTGTATAGATAGTAATGTGGATCGACGTGATGATCCACGACCGCTTCATGAATGTCACCAATCATTTTCAACACACGTCCAATATTCTCCGACACAATATTGATATGGAATTGCAATTTCTTGTCCATACTCTCCGTCGTCGATCGCAAATCGCCCAATTCGTTGGACACATGGTTTATCACTTCGGCATTCATATTTTTCGTAATTTCCAGTACATTCATACTGATCGGCTTCTTTTCACTCGCCTCAGCACCAATGTCATCAACGGCCAAGAAATTATTATCGATTTGACTCTTCAAACCCTCCAATTTTGAATCGATATCGCTGACTTTGCGATCAAGTGCCACCAGCCGCGAGTCAAGCACATTGCTCGATATTCTCACTTTACCAGCACCGTTCGTCGCACTCACACTACTGTCGTCATTTCTAGTGCATGGGAGAGAAAAAAAAAACATATAAATACGAAGGAATATTGTTAGACAATTAAAAAGTGTTCCGAAGTAAAGAAGAAGCTAAATTTCATGGGCACTGAAAACTTACGAATTCGGTTCGACCGATATTTTGTTGTCCAAATTTCGGAGTTTCGATATGATTGACTCCGTTTTGTGGATATTGTCACCAACACGATTATCCAGCTGTTCGACACGGCGCATCAGATGCTCAACAGCTTTGTCCAAGTTGTCAATACGTTGGAGTTTACCTTCGAGCGTTGACACGACTACCTCGAACACATTCAACAACTGTTGCTCTCTGTGGAATGGAAAATGGTTTAGATAATTGTTAGAAAACGATTCAAAAACCAAATTATTTGCTCATGTAAACTTTGTTCCAAAATTTTTGGATTTTGAATATTTTGTTTTGGTTTTTCCTAATCTCCTTTTTGGCCTAGATTTTGGCAGTTTTCGGTCAATTTTTGGACGTTTTGAACAATTTTGTTCAATTTTAAATGGAAAAAGTCTCATTCTAGAAAAACTTTCACAGTAAACTGGTGTGAAAAATGTGGTTCCGATTCAAAAAGCGGTTGCATGAAAAATCGTCAAATCGTCTCTTCCAAAATGCCCATTGTTCTCAGTCAAATGACCAATTTTTACAGTAATATGTCCATACATTTTGCACAAATTTGCGTGCAAACTCGTGTAAAATGAAATTGTTCGGAATTTTATGCAAATATGAAAGAAAAACTCTGCAAATCGACGAGATGGAGATAGAGAGAGAGGAGAGAGAGAGAAAACAAAATAGTTGGCATAAAATTGGAACGCAGAAAAACGTAAATATTAACAGCTTTGTACGTTGAGCATAATATGTGTGTCGATGTCTATCAGTGGTTTTATATAATAATCATATCTTTTATATCTTGTGTACGGATCATAAAGTTTATGATTATATGCCGGAGAGCGAGTAAAAGAGTTCATTCGGTCACAATGTTGTTGTTGTTCGCATCAATCTGTCTCTCTTTCCCTTTTACTCTTTTGTGGTCAAAACCGTGTGGTGGATGTGAAAGTGTTTACCGATGGAAGTTCTAATTAAGCTTTTTGTTTTGGGAAAGAAAAAACGGTTTTTATCCCCTTATGCGCGCATCCACAATCAATTAGAGTGTCTGAAAGGTTGTGGTAAATGTTTTGCTTTCATTAACCGACACGCATTTGATGATGGGCTTCCATTTTTTTTTTCATCATCTCTAATTGAATTGTGATTTTCTATCTGAGTGACAAGATGCAATAAAAAAAAACCGTTGCGAAATGCGTTTTCATTGTGATGGAAACTTTGTTTGGATTCAAAACTTTGTTTTGGTGGCCTGTGTTGGTTGGCGTTGGTGTTTTGGCTGAAATCACGCACATACACACAGGCGCCATGTACCTTTTTGTCCAGTTATTGCATTGGTCAACATGCACAAACGGTACACTTTCTTGTGACCACATCGCCATCGTCGTTGTTGTCCAAAGAAAAGCGTACGTGACAATTTGATAATGATAACTGATAAGGATTAAATCGCATATAAATACATATCTCATTGGTTTGTAACAGGTTTAATATGGCATATTGTCGATATCGATTTGACATTGTTGGCCCCGCTTCTGCACCGAAATCGATATGTGCGCTCGCGTTAAAACGGCTGTTTTTTTTTACTTGGTTTCTCGCTTATCTTTCGCATTATTTGTAGTTACAACGAGGAAGAATAAAATTCGACATTAAATACAAAATGGTGAAAGAAACAACGAAAAAAAGCTGCCGATTACATTAACTGGTTCTAGATTGTAGGTTGAGTAGACAGCTGCTGCTGCTGCCGCCGCCGACGATGAAGCATTTTGAACATTTTTCGGGGTCCTTCAACGAACCATATGGTGTTGTGCGAGCGGTCAATTTATTGCCCGCTTTAAACTCTTTCATTCTCTCTCGCTCTCTCTCTCTCTCTCTCCCTTGCACTCGCTCTTTGACTCATTGTCCCATTGTCTCTTTGTGTGTCTTGATTCACTCGTGTTCTTTCTCACTCTCAGATTCTCTCTTGCCCGCTTGTCTCGTGGCGCACGCCAATATCATTCCAATTATTGCAACTATGCATAGATATACAAAAAAACGATTCATTTTTACCTTGCTTCGACTCAAACATGAAGCAAAAAAACAATTTTTGCGTTTCAAAGTGCAAATTATAACGGTTATTGTGCCCAATGGAAAAGTTTAAAATAGATTTTCTCTACAAATTTATTATCGATTTTGCATGAGTTGTGTTGTTCCAATTCATTTCTTTTTTCACACTTTGCATACACCGTGTATTTCCATTGGGGCCAGTTATTGGCTTCGAAACTTCGAAATGAAGAGAAAAAAAACAACATGTGAACAAAAAGCACACATACACCGAATGGATGGATCGATTGTAGCTATAGAGTCACTGGGCTAGAGTCGGAGTGGGAGAGGATAATAATAAATAAACGGAAAAAAAACAACAACAAGAAAATAAACAATGGTCTTGACTTGCTGATTTTACAACTTAACTGGTTTTTGATTTCGTGCAATTGCGTACTAATCTCACATCTCATTTCTTTTCATTAAGCATTTATTATTGATTTGCATTTTCGGTGTTTTCGAGAAAGAAAGAAAAAAACATAATTTGAATTGTTTAGATGTGGAGGGCTTTGCTTGTTTCGTTCTGCTTTGGTAAGAAACCAGCACCAAATTGTACCGAATTACACACCGAGAGAGAGGGTGTGTGGAAGAAAGAGAGTGTGTAAGATAGAACGAAAAAGAAGAGTGAGGCCGAGACTGAGACTGAGATCGAGATAGAGATAGATAGAAAAAAAAACTGTGAGCAAACAAGCAATGAACGCTCTAATCACACACATACACAAACCAAGACACACCATTGATTAATGGCACGTCAGCTATGAATTGAACGAGAACAGATTCGCTGGCACAAAATATTTTGAAATTGTGTGCGGTCATGCTCTATGCAAATTGTGGTGTTAGAACAATTCTTTGGCAGTTGGGTGATTAATCGAAAACCTCTTGGTGCATAAGAACTGTGCGTCTCACTCGACAAATTATGCATAAAAAGTTCACACATGTGTGAATAATGGTGAACCATTGGCTGAAGCCGTTGCATTTTTTTTCTCTTCTCTTCACGCGTTTTTTTTTTTTTTTTTAAGACACAATTTGAGTCGGTTTCATTTCGCGGTCCAATTTATGCGATTTTAAATTGGAATTTATGCAATTGGGATATTATCGGCTGTGTCCATGTCCAGCCATGGCATAAATTGTACAACGGCGGCGGCGGCGGCGACGACGTGCAAAAAGTAATCGGTAGCTCGATCCCATTGACATTTACAATGTTTTAAACTTCAATGAAAATTCCAATCATTTTCACGATGCGTATTCGTACAAACGTGAACGGTACGGTTCAGTTCAGTCGCTTTTTTGCATCTTTTGTCTTTGTTCTTCTGATTTGGGCCAAATGCAGTGGCCAATTGGCCAATACATATATATATCGAAAGTGCACCATGCGCAACAAGTAGGAGTTTATCACCGCATTTCATATGATCCGAATATTTTCCGAGTCTTTTGTCGTAGTTTTGCCTCACTGTTACAATTCTTTTGTTGTTGTTGCATTAAACAATCGAAAGAGACTCGACGTCTCTCTGTTACATTGGACCTGTTCACCGTTGTTGTGTGTTTCTTCTTCTTCTTTTCCTGCTGCTGCTTTGTAAACGAAAACTGAATGCGCACCGTGTGTGTATGTATATTTATGAATGTTTAATTTGTTCGTGTTCGCTGTTGCCCACCAAGAGATAATAATAAAATGTTTTTTTTTCGCTCGTTGCTCGGTGGTTTTTTTTTTTTAAAGCACACACACATTTTGCTTGTACTTTTTCTTTTTTAACACCAAACTGAACCCGGTCGGTCGGTCACAAGCGCATTTAAAATAGCAATAACAAAACTGCCGCGTGCACATAAATTCACATTGTACAGATATCGGTCGGTTGCTTGCTTGGTCGCACATTCATCTCAATGTGAGATTTGACGTGCACAAAAACAAAACTTTTTCTTTCTTCATAAAACAAAAGCAAAAATGCTGGCATTTTGTTTCTCTCTCTCTCTTTCCCTCTCTCGGCCGAATCAAAATTGTATCATTTGACTTGACATAACAATATATAGAAATAAATATGATTAATTTCCGTGCGCATTGAGGAAACATACACAAAATCATAGTGAGCGAGCGCGCACGCGAACACTCATAACGATAAATAATAGAGAAAAACAGAAAAAGCAACAACAAAACCGAATGCAAATCGTTTCAAATAATTGCCAAAACATTTAACCGAGATTGAAATCAAACAACGCGAATTGCGGTGCGCTGGTGGAAGCAACGGTGCTGTGGCAAAATGGAAACGACGGTTTTTGGCCAAAGTGCGACACTTTTTGCGGCAATTGGGCCAATATAAGATAAAGTAACAGTTCTAAGTCAAAGCAACCGTTGTAAGCAAAAACAATAGTCCCATATCAAAGTAGCAGCACTAAGTCAATGTACCAGTCTTAAGCCAAATCAGCAGTTCTAAGGTAGAAACACTGTGGTCTCAAAATAGACACAGCAGTACTGTGCTCTTGAGAGCTAGCACCGTATCCAAACCTCTTGAGAGCTAATATCAAAACAGTATTGGGCCAACAACACCGTGATTTTCGACTCCACAATTGTGCATTCGTCAGTGTGTCTAGCGACCAGACTCTAGCCAATTTGGCTTTTTGGATTTCTCTTCGCAGTCGAACTAAACACACATACACACAAACCGGACCATGTCACAGCAATTGGTTGAATCAACTAAGTCAAAGTCGAATAAAATCAGAAAATGAAAATCTATTCAGCGCGTGCACGCTGCCATTTAATTCAACTCGATTGTGGTGTACAAATTTACGTGCACAATGTGAAAGAGTGTCAGTGCGCTTGCTCTTTTATGTTGATAAATTGCTCGAAAAGTGTAAAATGACCCGAACCATTCGCATTTCACTTATTAAATGAATGAAAAACAACCACAGCGACGACGGCAAAGGTGAGAGAGAAAAAATTAGTTCCCATAATAACGTTCAAATGAGCCATTCGCCACACCGTGCGACGCCCAATAAAAACTCATATTCCGAAAACAGCGATAAATGTCGGACGTGAAAATTTGTGTATGCGCGCGCTACTTGGCCGTGCAGATAAACAAGATTTGAGTATTAGAATAATAAACAAAAATTGTAATGAATGAGAGAGAAAGAGAGAG